TTGCAGAATATCACTGTGGTCGCCTTCAAGGTATTCCCAGCGCCTAGTCCACCCTCCAAAACAATTTTGGAACTGGTTTTATAGAATGACCTTCAGAGATGCCGTCGTATTACTCTGATGTCATCAGTGTCATAAAAATGCTTTCCTTTATCTTTGGGAAAAGGGAAGGTGTTCCAGCTAAAAACTCCCCCACAGACAGTGCTCTAATTCAGCTCCGACATTCTCGTGACGACACACCAAAACATACTCAGACAATAATAGACGCCACTCAGAAAGAGACTGCCATAGATCAACAACAACACAGCTGTGAAACGCTGATATGCCAACGTCATGAAACCATACTGAGGTTTCTGCCCACTGCTGCCACGACAAGCATACTGTGTGTGTCTAGCTCGTTGCTAACTTTATTGTCAGACCTCGTATATTGAAAAGAGAATCTGTTAATTTTCTAATGAGCCGGCGTCCCGGGTTCGAGCCAGGGTCAGGTCATATGGGACTTACGGTGAACAAAGTGGCACTGGAGCCGGTTTTCTCCGAGTTCTTCGGTTTCCCCTGCCAATTCTCACTCTCTCAACTGCTCCATACTCATCATAATCATCACCACCATATGGGACTGGTGCAATAGCCCCGCTAGGGACTGACGTACCAAATGGACGGAGTGTCACCCCACCCACGGAATTAAAGGAATCTAATGATGCACTCTTATTCCTAGATGGTGTGTACGCATGCAACTAGCAGTATCAAGAGAAATCCTTATTTTATTATGGCAGGCATTAACCTCAGTGGACACGCAAATGTCCCCGAAGAACGCGTAGGTCCACAGATGTGGGAGGTACGAATAACTCTTCCCGATAAAGGTAAAAAGGTAAAGTTGTCAGTGTGCGTAATTAATCAAGCGCTGTGTCATGAATACGCATGGGGGAGTGAAGCTATAGTTCTACTTGACCTATGCACTAGATGGAGGTGAGTAGTTGGCTTCACGCCCGGGCCGTTTAACCTCCGGTAAATCTCCATTATTTAGGAGGCTGTGTGGGCGCTGTGAAGTGAAACATCTTGTCTCGAACCCCGGCCGTTCAGCCCGTCGTTATACCGACTCTTGACTCTTCCGGATAATCGGTAATAACTCATCTTTGCACCAGTTTCCCCATTTTCAAGGGCCACAGTGCTGAGATCTGGTACAAAATATATCACGCATGGATAACCGCAAGGTTCAGACTGCAGTGAAGGCAGATGTTACTGTGCTGTTCTCAACATGTCACTTCTTCTAAGATATAACGCCATGTAGTCCGTTGAAAGTAAATCGACGTTTCGGGGAACATCGCCTCCATCTTCAGGGCCGAATAAGCTGAGCATGATACCAGCGTGAAAGTAGGTTGACTATCAGCGGACTACGCGGCGGTATATCCCGGAAGATTCTCTTCATAACCGCCGCTGGGAGAACCTCAGATCCTACGTCACTTCATGTTTCGTGCATGTTGAGTGCGTATGGCACGCGTCTCTCACTTTGCACGCAGGGTTCAGGGAATGAGATAACATGCAGACTGAGTACAGAGAACTCTATAGGCATGCATGCAGCGAAATGTGCGCGTTTTTACAGTAACTGTAATTGCAGTGACTGAATGACGCAAATTTATATCAGGGATATGAATGTATGAAAGATGAACCATGTAACGATCGACCGTCCACATCATGATCTGCGTTACTGAAATATGTCATACTGATCAGATCAGACTGGGTAGGATGTTTTATAGGACGTTTATGAGCCTTCTTGTTTAGCTGGAGCCTTCTTCAATGGCTGACTCAACCATTGTCATAAACCTTTATAGAATGATTAGCATTCAGTTTCTAATTTTCTGCCACAATGGCTGTTTAGACAAAGTGGGATCTGTTCGTCCTAGTTTAAATTGCTAAACGCATTTCGCATGTAGCGGTACCGACCTGTCCCTTGTCGCTGTCGCATAGTACATTGTGACAGAACTTGGAGAAAGTATCAAGAACTTGAACCTTGTATGTTTTTGCTGTATTTAATTAGAAATTAAGGTCATTTGTTGGATTACTTAACACAGGATGTAAGTTTTTTGCGTACTGGAGAGGCGAAGGTCGTGGTTTCTCTCACTGCAAACCATCTGCACGCCCCTTGCAATGGTAGCCTGGCGGTGAACAAAAGGAAACATGAAATGCTTGAAGAAAGCAGTCTTCTGGGATTTGGCACCGTGTATCAGAATACTGTTTTCTTCATAGTCACCGCCGTGAAAGCCTCAAATCTTACATGAAATGCTTGGTTTGCAACCAGATTTTCAGTTCGGTATCCCGACAACGAACTTTTTTCAGTACTTCAGAAGCTCTTAAATTACTTTCACTAACTGATTCCACGGAACAGAGTTCTCCGGAGAACCTAATAATCATGTTAGTGACTAAATTGCCCATGTTTTAAGGAAGGAAATTTATTGCCAAAAATACGAGTCCACCAGTGGTTCCTGCCCTGGCCTAGGTGAATCCACTCAGCATCCTATTTAAGATCAGTTTTAATACTGCCCTCCCATCTACGTTAAGATCTCCAAGCGGTCTTCCTTTCTTGTTTTCGGACAAAAAATTCGCATGGAAGTCGATTTATTTCTCCGATGCAGTCTATATGGTTCGCTCCTAATATACAATGTATGACACACCGGTAGAACCACTCGGCTTACATATAAATTTACGTTAAAACTCCGTGGCTTGTAGTCCGCAAGCGAACTATACCGACCGACCGCCGCTTATCGGCAAAGTTAGTGCTAACTTTTGCGGACAGAGGGTGTCGCGTGGTCAGTGCAACGGATCCCCACGGCCATTAATCTCGGTTTTCTAGACGGGAGCCGCTATTTCCTTGAAAATACTCAATTATCCTCACGAGGCTGAGTGGACCCCGTTCCAGACCCACTATTTCTCAGAAAATCTGGTAGCGCCGGGAATCGAACCCGGGAACTCTGACCACTAGTCCACAGGCGGTCAAATTTACGCTAAGTATTATAAAAGATACAATAATTGTGACTAAAACCCGGACTTGAATATGGCACACATGTGCCGAAACATGTCCTAAATAGCAACTCCACCTGTTGAAAATAGTGTTGACAGGAGTATAATAAATATCATCTATATTAATATTATACATGGATTTATACATCTACTCCCCTATACGTCTTCGTGGCATAGTGATTAATTAGTTAAGCAAAGAGACAACTTCGCCCTTTTTACACTAGCAGTATTATGTTTTATCTGCGCGTCTTTGAGCCAATGATTGCTGCTAAGGGTCTTCATGGAGCAGCGGGTTCGTACGCAGACCGCACGAAAACAGAGTTCATGTAGTGAGGTTACGTATACTGGTGTTTATACTTGGCAGCATGGACGGATAGATACTGCGGAGAAGAGAAGCATTCTTATAATGTTCTAAGCCACTATATATGTCCACCATGACCAACTCGGAATAGGCCAGCTCTGACAATGATAAAACACCTTCGGCTCTAGGCATAAAGAAATTTTTCCGTTCTGTCACATTGCAAACATCACGCGTGGTCATTAACGAGACATGTTCTATTTAGTGATAACGTCATAGATCATAGTCCTTAAGAAGCTGATCGTCACTGAGCTGGTAAAAAATTACCCGACTTTTATTGAACCTGATTAATTTCTTTCTTCACAGGAGTCAAAAACTTTACTCTACTGTGTCATGTGGTCTGTTCTCTTCAGGCTTCCAAACCCTGTGGGTACCTCACCTTAGCCGTGGTAATATTTGGTGAAGAAGACAAATTATGAACCTCTTCTCAAAAAGAACTTTGCGTACGGAGCCGACAGTCCACACGTTCCAAGCGAAAGCCATTTTGGAAACTTGTTCGGTGATTCTCCGCGGCAGGGGATATTAAATACTTAAAAACTGAGGAGTGCCTAAACATTATATTGCTACAAACTGACACTTCCCGTTTATCCTATGATGTATGTGGAATACTCTTAGGAGTTTCCTTTTTTATTATTATTTAGACGTTATCTGTGTGTTTCATCTTTTATTTATACCCTAAAGTTTTCATATGAGTTGTTGTGGGTAACCTATTATAAAACACTGCAAGGCAGCTGCAAAATTAGAATCACTTACCTTTACACAACACATGATGAGAAGATAATGAGGTACAGGAAATCGGCACCTGCTGCAGGACTGTTACGTCAAGGCCTAACATGTACCTGACATTTCCCTCTTAATTAACTTACTGTTTGTTGCAAGTGAAAAGGCCAATTTATGATAGCAAATAAAGTGGACCTTATTATGGGTCACTATGGCGAAAGATCGGAACTGTCCAATAATTAAGTGAAAATTTATCATACTGAATTTGAAAGAGGAGCCTGTCCGCCAGTTTAAGAGCGGATGCTAGGTTACAGGCAGACAGTTGGACAGACATACTGACGACCTTCGACAGAACTGTGCAAAGACTTCGAATGTTACAATCAGTCCAGCGGTTCTTTAGTCATAAGATGATAGCCAAATACTCCTTTTGATTATTTATCCCTAGATCCGCAAGACTTAAAGTGTGTCGTGCATAAAATGCATCTTTCTTTCTTTTTCTCTAAAAGTTGCGTTTGAAATACGTTTTGTCTCGCTAAGTATTTATAGTTTCGTGCAAGATGCTTGCAGAAATGCACGGAGCTTCATATGCACAGTGTCCGTTACGTCTGTCCGACTTTAACCATTATAATTGCTCAGTGTGTTTTAGCGACATTCTCCTATACAGAAGCATAAAAAATCTGTCTAATGATTTCAGCGCCTATACTAGTTCACAGACATGACCTCCATGAAAGGCGTTTTTGTTTTTCTTGGTAAAGAGCGTCTAAAAAATGCTGAAGTGGATAGCCAGTCCCGATGTAACGGATTACTTCCCTGTGCTGATTCAGAGAACCATCCATACCTTTATGTTTCCTAGAGCACAAGTCTGGAAGATACGTGTAAACAGAATTAAATAACATTAAAATGTTTTAATTGCAAATTATAAAATGAGCATCGTTTACTTTGCATAGCAGATATACATATATATAATATAATATACTTCAGAACAGCACAAGGCATTCATCACAATAATATCATATTCCATCCTTGTCGTCTTTTGAATACAAAGGAAAGAATAAAGTCTTATATGTATCACAGTTGAGCAAAATTAGGAGGCAGAGGTACCCTCCCCAGGATCATCGTTCTGCTTATCCTGATCAGGCTTGGTAGGCAGTGGACGGTTAGCCATTTTGCTGGAGCACCTGATGCTACTTGTGGGTGGCACTTCTGTGTAGACATGGACTGCAGCATCTGTTGGCTCTGTGTATTCACACAATACGGAAACTGGTTGATGGACCTTACCACCTACAGTAGCCGACACCCTTGGCAAAATACTTTCACCGAGGGCGCGCAAGAAGCTGAGAGGTCTAGCTGGCGATTTGTTAGTGCCAGAGCTCGTGGCAGGCAAGGTTGTGGCTGAGGGGGCACCTCCTCCGGGCAGTTCTGTATACAAATGCTGTTCGCGATCTCGGGGCTCCACATACTCACATACGACCGCCGGTTGCCGGTTCCTCCTCACCTGGGCGTAAGGCAGAAGTTTGTCTGGGGATGGTGCTCTTGTACCAACACTACATGTCGTAGTCGTTTTGGACTTGGGGCGAAGCCTGGACGGCGGTGGGGACGGCGCTTCAATTACGTCGTATAAATTATCATCGTCTTCGTCGTCATACTCCTCGATGGGACGCGACGTGGAGGGCATGTTGTTATTGTTGCAACATTCCTCTACCTTGATGAGATCATACAAATGCTCTATCATATCTCGCGCCTCACTGTAATTTTCTGGATCGTCCAATTTCTCTCTCAGTGACTGGAGGAGTTCTTGAGTCAGTTCTTCGGGCAGAGTCTGAGTCCACTTGTCTTCATATGGCACTTGTTCAACTTCCTCTTCACTGATATTATCGTCTGTGATAAGCAGCAGGCCTTGCCTTTGCTTCTGTTGCTGCTGTTGCAGCTCTGTGTACTCGTGCATGGACAGCCGAGATATAGATCGTGCCGTCACGAGCCCCCCAGTCCCTATACCTTGGAAGAGGGTGGAGAACATGGTGAGTAAACTTGTCGTGGTGGGCAGCAGCATGATCCGTGCCTGCAGGCAGTACCCGTGTCGCCGCAACCAGAGGATTCCTGTGATCACAAGTATAACAACCATCGCACATACCACCACTATGAATATCAAGCCCAACATTTTCTTCTCGCGATCCACCTCACTGTCGTCCGTAGAACCGCTACTGACCACACTCACAGCACTTTCGCCTTGTTTCGTCTCTTCACACACTATCACATCCCCTGACCCACACACCAGTTCGGTATAGTTCCTCATGTTCAGAAAACCCTGAGGCACATTAAAACACCGTGCCAGTACCGAATCTACCGTGCATGAACTGGTGTTGAAAATTTCGTCCACTGCTTCCTTTTCGGTTGTCACCATTTTCTGCACCCACGATATTAAGTTGCAGTGGCAGATCTGCGTGAATCGGTTGTCTGTCAGCTTTGCTTTTATTCCAGCACCTCCTTCTATGGCCTCCACTGCGAACCTTAAAGCGCCAGGGTTAAACTTACCCACTTCATTACCCGCAAAACTGAACTCGTACGTGCTTACACCTGGCAGTGACTCGAATGGCATATTCACTGCATCTGCTTCTAACCACTGGAAAGTATTGTCCATCATGACGATGCGGTTCCAGTATTTCAGAACAAATCCTCGAGACATGATCTTCTCGAATACGTTGTTACTGAAGGTTGCCTTGGCTACTGTTATGTTCATAGCACCTTCCAGCACCTCGGACACCCTGGAAAGAAACAATACTTATGTAACCTGAGCATTCCTCGTGTTTCAACTCTTGGCCCGCAGTAAGCTTTGTAGCATGTCTGTCAGAATTCACGCAGCAAGTGAAGGCATGAGGTTGCGCATGAAAGCAGTGTGGTGAGGGTACCTCTCACAGTTACGGGACGATTTTCTCTGTACGCAGCTAGGCAGCAGATGGCCTGCTTCGCCTCTCTGACCATCGTTCGACCTAGTGGACTTGTTCAAGTTTGTGACACCACCCAAAGGAACGGAACAGTGTTTCTGAGTTGATGCCATCACTCGTTGCATGAGCTATAAAATAAATGAAGGGACAATTGCCATTCTTAATAAGTAACTTAACTAAACTGCAGGCGATCTAAAATCCCTCGAATCTCCTGGTGAGTGGGCATGAGCTCAGAAATGGAACCCAGGCTGTGAACTGGCTGGATGTAGTCGCTACATGGAATGGACGTGTAAAAAATCATACAGTCATTATAGATTACAGTCATGAATTCAACAAGTTGCGATACTTACTAGGTGTTGAACATTCTGGTACACCTACAACGGCATTCGTTATTGTCTTTGTCAACTGTAGCAACATTCAGTTTAGTGACCGAAATACTGTAGATAGTGTGCACACTAAAAGACGCTTTTTATGTATATTCGAGATGGTTCTTGAGATCACAAGAACTTTTAAATGTGTCTCAGATATGTGCGTGACCTTGAAATACAGTTTCTTCCTCTCGGTCAATAAGCAGATTTATTCAGACCTGCGTATGAGTGAGGAAATGGAAGGCCTTAATTCTGTAGACTGAGTATATATCGGTATGATATAGCTGATAGAATTCTGTTACCTGGAATGCTGAATAGTTAGGTTGGTTATGGCTGCCTGCACAGCATGGGATGCGAGTACACGTATCCTCACGCCGGACATTTCCAGGTACTGGATGAGGGTATGGTCGCTGAAGGCACCTGCTTCCACGCGATGCAGAGACGTATTCTGGAAGACCACGGAGAACAGCGTGTTGGCACAGAAGGCGTCGCGTCGAATAGTGCGTACTTCCGCGTCCACGAGGCGTACCTCTGCCGCTGATGAAGGGAACGCTCCCTGCGGCAGCTCTGCCAGCATCACGTTCTGCAGCAGCACCTGAACGAGCAGAAGGTGCTGTTCATCGTAGTCCTATGCGAGAGAAACAACCTTACCTGTGGCTTCATCTCTCTTCCTTATTGGTTTTAAGAGCTTCGTCTCACCACCTGTTTCAGTTACCGTCCCATAGGCATCTACATAGTACACGTATTTTCAACTGATGAATGGAAAATGGCAGTCCTTTACACATAGACAGTTCGGCTTTGATCGCAAACTTACTTGACCGTCTCTGTCGTCTAGTGGTCAGAGTTCCTGGGTACAAATCCAGGGGTCCCGGGTTCGATTCCCGGCGCTGCCAGATTTTGTGAGAAGTACTGAGTCTGGATCGGGGGCCACTCAGCCTCGCGAAGAATAACTGAGGAGCTACTTCAAGGAAATAGCGGCTCCGGTGTAGAAAAACCGAGATTAACGGCCGTGGGGAACCGTTGCGCTGACCACGCGACACACTCTATCCGCTAAAGTTGGCATTACTCGTAACTTCGCCGACAAGCGGCGGTAGCTCAGTCGGTATAATTCGCTTGCGGCCTACAGACCACGGAGTTTGCTTTTTTTTTTGTTTTGTAAGTTTACTTATCTGGGCCTGTTATGAACTTGCTTGTTTCTTCTCTTTAAAATGTTATTATTGCGGGTATTGCACAATAAAGATAAAGTAACAGTATGAAGAGAATTATGAAACAAGGAGTCTTTACCAATACTGTTACGCTAATTAAATCGAGGATAAAATGGGCATGAAACATGTTTGGGCGAGATAAATTCATTCCTAGTTTTAATTGGAAAACCTGTAGATAAGTGTTCACTTAAGAGACTTAGGCTTGCGTGGAAGGACTGCGTTAAAATCGATTTTATAGCAACTGGGTATGAGGGTGTGAACATAATTTAGTTGCCTCAGAATAGGATCGAGTGGTAGTCTTATTTCGATATCGGCCCTATAAACGGACCAACTTCCCAGAAGACATCGTGCTCCGCGCAGTAAACGTTAAGGCATACTCGTACATGGCTTAGTTAAACATCCCTTCGCATAACTGTCTTGGTGATAGGATAATACATTTCATATGTGATTTGGTAAAATTCACGCGGCTGCTATCACAGTACATCGTGACAGTTTCCAAGGCAATCGTTGCAAGCTTAGCCCATCAGGAACAAACCTCTTAATCTCAGTACTTCAACAGAGTTTGGATTTCAGAACGGTAATCAACAGCGTATTAAAATTGTTTTATGGTTATATATTTCCTTATACCACAACAGACTGACGTTTTAAATACCGTTTGAGTGTCAGTGTTGCTGCCCTGGGAGCAAACGGCGCGAAGAGTATGGGTTATCAGGAAGAATTAACAGTAGATTATCTCACACATCCATATATTTGGTAATTACGCGTTACCCAAAACCATTTGCTTGTACGTGGTGATTATTTCGGTTCCGGGTAAATTGCTGCTGGCCTCCGCCAGCACAGTCGTTCTTCGTTCCGGACCCTGCGGGACCCACGACCATATTTTTATGACTCTAGTGATTATGTATAAAGCCTGCCACACGAATGGTGAGTCATTTTGATTTACTATTGCTAGCAGCATGCATAAACCTATTATCAGTTTGGGATATTATCATTTCATGCAGTGCGTAGAAGAATTACGTTACAGAGCCGCAAACCGGAGTTTCGAACGGTACGTTTACTATGCCCTCCGCTTTCTATAATTATAGAAAGCGGAGGGCATAGTCGGGACATGAAGTGCTTAAGGTTTTCAAGGTCTGTTCTAGTTTTGGTTTCGGATATGAGTTATTTCCTCATACGCATTTCAGACATAGTGCTGTAACATTAAAAAGAAAACGAATCGAGAATATCTCAGAAATGCAAGCGTTGAAGTACCTGACAGGCACATAAACATGTCTGGGCACGAGACAGCCCAGTGAGACCCACCACGAATTCAGATTACTGGGTGGCTGGAACACCGCGAGAAAACGATTCAGCGTTTGGGTGCCATGACCGAGTTACATATTGATTTATACAGTACCGTTACATTATGTACCTCGGTAAAGCTAAAGCTATCCCTGTAACAGGCCGTAAAGGCCCACTGGGTTGTGAAACGTCGAAGATCTATACAGTTGGCTGAGAGATGGCGGTGAGGTTGTCAGCCTTACACGCCGGTCGCCCTTTACACCAGGAAGATTCCTGGTACTCATTTCTGTTAGAGGTTGATTCGACCCCAGGGCCATGGTGCGGCTGGAAGGGTTAGGTAAATTGAAGAAATTAAATGGCCTCAAATGTCTTACGCATCTCGGTACAGATATAAGTGTGCTCAGTCAGTGTGAATAACTGACAGCTTTCAAACAATTCTGAACTGCCAGAATTGCTTTTTCTTGCCAACCCTCTATCGCCCACCATACTGTCACAATATCGCTGTTTAACGGCAACACGGATACTGATACTGCGCTGCCAGGACTCGCACTCACTCAACATGGGTTTGCTTCTCACCGTTGCGGCCGGCCCATGGCGCCCAACTGCGCTTGGTGTCTCGAAGGAGAAGGCTTGCTTGAACAGCTCAAGTCGCGGCACGTCCTTCACTGTGACGGCGAGGATCCAGGAGAAGGCAGAGTTCTGCACGATGACGTGGGCGCAGCGGGAGATGACAGCAGTGAGGGGCCCGCGGACGGCTCGGAAGGCGTGAGTTTCCACCACGGCGCTGCCACAGTCGAGCACTTCCAGCAGTGTGTGCGGCGCCGAGAGGTTGAGGAATGCGTGGCGCCGCACCACCAGTCGCTCCACGTTGCTGAGACGCACCCTCTGCAGCGCCCACACCTGCGAGAAGGCGCCGGCCAGTAGACGTAGCTCACCTGGACACTGAGTCACGTTCAGTTCCAGCATCTGGGGCGGAATGGAGCCGGCGTCCAGGTCCACTGTCTGCAACACAGTAAACGTTCTTACAGTTCACCTTGGACTGCTCCTTGAGAAGCTGCCCCTGTTGTGAGCATGCATTTAATCCAGTGACATCAGCATAACCTCCTCCTTTAAGATTCGTTTAAATATTATTTTCCCATCTATGCCAAGGTCTTCTAAATGGCCACCTTATTTTGAGACTAAAATTTTGCATGGTCTACATTTCTCATGTGCCCCACTCATCTCAGTCTCCGTGACTTGATCTTGACATGGCAAGTCGCGAGATGTTCCTCGTCGTACAGTTTTCCCCGGCCTCTTACTATTTCCCCTCTCCTGGGTCCAAATAATTCTTCTCCTCCTCGAATGTCCCTTAATCTGATGCCAACTACACATTCAAAAGGGCACGTACATACGTAATTATCGCAACAGGACATGCCATTAGATAGTGACTACTTCAAAGATTCCACTGTTGGAATTGCTGGGCAACGTTTCTGTAACGCCTGGATGCTGTACACGTTTGAGATACGAAACTTACTGTACATCTGGGGTTCAAGTCCCGATATGGGAATCTTATTCTGAATACCACACTCCCGTCTCCTATCCATTGCGTAGTAGAGGTTCTTTCCCATGAGAAAGGATACTGATCATTTTGATCTAGTGTATGGAGCTTTACCTTCATATCCCGAATAAGAAAACGCGATACTAAATATATAGCCAGCTTTAGAGTAATTTATAATAAGTTTACTTACGGTTTATAAAGGCTGTACTCGCACGCGTAGCCCCTTCGTCTCAGAGGGACGACTTTACAGTTAACTTTTTGTTTCTAATGATTTACCCGCATTTGTGTTGCCCTCCCTCCTCCACAGAGGCGCTTTTGTGTGCGTGTTAGAGAATGTTCCCGTTTACAACTGTGCACTATTTCAAAATTAATGATACGAACTGAGTAAAGGCTGTTTTCATATAGGTTTTGCGTGTTTCTGTACTAGTACCTTCAGCGCTGCCCCCTCCCCACGAAGAGGCTCCCGATATTCAAGCCCAGTTTGAACCGCACGCTGCACCGGCAAATGTGCGACTTTCACTCTTAACACGTTTGCAGGTATGCATTCCGGCTGAAAAAGGCAGTCAGCAGAGTGAAGTACAGATCCAGATTAATTTGTTCAGTTCAGATTCTTCAATCAGACGCCGGGTCTCGAAACGAGGCCGTCGGTTACAGAGTAACATGAACTCTGAAAGTATTCAGTTTTAGCACCAAGCTTCTGATATTTGTATTCGCTCCGTTTCGTAACAAGTAACACAGGCAGCCTTGGAATAGAGAGGGCACCAATTACGAATAATATTACTGTCGCAATTTTCTTTTGTAGCCTAACGGGAGTCGCAAGCCAGTATATAGGTTCGGCCACACAGAGCGCTACGCTATGTTCGCTACGTAAGCTACGTACGCTGTGTACACTCTGCGACGCAGCTAACATAGGGAACATAGCGTACGTAACGTACGGGAGTCTGTGTGGCCAGTCACTTGGCAATAAAGGGAGATATTTTTCTGTTCGTATAGCGAACATAGCGTACGTAGCGCTCTGTGTGGCCGAACCTTATCTCATGGGCAGACTACATCAGTATCCAGAGATACTCACACCTTCCGTAGAAGCCTGCGGTGTCGCCTGGAAACTAACATTAAATGTCACTTTGAATCACAGCTGTTTTCATGTAACGTGATCATTCATGATAGTAAGAGTCAGAAAGTGCACTGCAACGTGGCCTTGCTTTTATTTACTTATTGCAGATACAAATCTGTGTCACAAAGCGCGTCACATTGCATATGTACGAGTGTGAATTGTTCTTCTTTGTACTTCGTTAAACACTAACCATGTTACAAAATAAGTTTCCGTATAAAATATGTATGCACTGTCCGGTCATTGGGAGTCTACGTATATGATGACGTCATGCATATGTGGGATTATTTTATCTGAAGCACTGACGATACTGCTCATTATAAAAAAAAAGCTTACATCGCTGCACTTCCATTGTGGCTGCTGTGTCAATTCTGATGATACAGCATTGTTAAATTAATAAATTATAAAGAACAGATTTATAAGCATTGAACTAAATAAGGTAAAGGTGTCCCTGTGCTTAACTGTTTAAACACTGCGCCATGAAGACGTATGCGGGAGCGGATGTATGGATCCACATTTTCTCGACCTCGGCACTAGTCCCCCCCTCCACTTCCGCATCATTGTTACATTCCCCTTCATTTCTCATCTTGTAGGACCATGAGCTGTCTGTCTAAAATCAAATTAATTCCAAATTGTAAACCTACAGTACTAAATCTTATGGAAAGGCGTAAAGAAGTTTTTGAGATGAAACGTGGACGGACAGACAGTTACAGAATATGTAAGATTTGAGGCTTTCACAGCGGTGACTATGAAGAAAGCAGTCTTCTGGGATTTGGCACCGTGTATATGTGGTGTTAACCGACGTTTCGGAGGAACGTATCGCCTCCATCTTCAGGGTAGAAGAAAAAATATAAGAAATCTGCAAGACAGTCTGCTTTTACCGGTTCTCACGGTCTCTTCGCTTGCAGATTTTTTATATTTTTTCTTCTACCCTGAAGATGGAGGCGATACGTTCCTCCGAAACGTCGGTTAACACCACATATACACGGTGCCAAATCCCAGAAGACTGCTTTCTTCAGTTACAGAATACTTTCATTTCGCGCATTTTCTTTGGGAATGCACAATTATGAAAGCCTATTAACAATCGTGGCAGGGTTTACTGAAGCAAGGTCGTGATAATGATGTATCGCTCTGACGGCTTTTCTGCTCTGAATGAGAACAAATGAAAATAATCACACCTCAACAAGAAGGCAGACATGTCAATCCTGCATGTGTCTGTTTGGCGAATGCTGGCGTATGTACCCAGGCTTCTCTCTCCGAATAGCCTTTAGTGCAAATGTACGATGATGCTGTATAGCCTCAGGGGAAACGAGTTTTCATTTCATCGGATTGGACGGTGGTCTTGTTTTCCTTATACTGACTGTGCTTGGCGCAGAGCTGACAGCCTTGGTATCGGTCCGAGTACTCCGCTCCGCTTGATTTCGTTACTGATGACAGCCAGAACCGCTGACACTGCAATTGCATTTTCCGAACAATCATTAACACTGATCAGTGTTATACGAGGGGTATAATAACAGGTAATTCTTGGGACTGCCGGTCACGGTAGCCGAGCGGTCTAAGGCGTGCACTGCCTTCGCTCGCTCGGAAGCCGGGATCGTGGGTTCGAATCCCACTTAGGGCATGGATGTTTATGTGCGTTTCTCTGTGTTTGTGTACAGGTAGAGGCCTTGCTACGAGCTGATCACCCGCCCAAGGAGTCCTACCAAATGTGTAAGATCTAAAAAAATCGAAGTGAACGGAGAAGTTCATGGAGGTAGGCCTAGACCCACTGGGGCTGTAGTGCCAAGGAAAAAAAATTCTTGGGATATTTACTGACGCCTTTTCAGCTGCATAGGTTACACTGTGTAGCGTCAAGTGGTAGGAATGTGTGGAAGGGAGCAGTTGTAGCCTGTTTTAGTACTAACACAGCATATGCCTGGAGGAGGGACTGAGGAAAGGCACGAAAAACCTAAATTAGGATAGCCTGTCTGCGGGCCGAGATATGATCCCGGGGCCTTCCGAACAAGAGACTGGAGTACTGGCCCCTTCACGTGAAGTTCTGATAAAATGTTCTGGGCTGAATGATTTTTGATTTAATTTGCTGTATGTCGATTTGGTTGCAAAAATGAAAGATTGCACGTCGTTAAGCAGTGAACTTTCTTAGAACGGCAGTCGAGGCAGCCACCATGTTTTTCTTGAGCCATGTGTGATAAGTGATAACGTTAGAGTCGACTGTGGAAGCTTCAGACACAAACACCAATCCTGCGAGTTTATATACTGTCTGCCCTCACAGTCATTCTAATGAGGCTAAGGCAGACGCTTACTACTGCTACACCTCGCTTTTGCCAAACTCGTTCCTTTCACGGAGTGCTGAAGGTTGACTGGTTTCTTTGGCGGACGAGCGCTGCCAGTACATCCAAAGCCGCACGGCGGTGCAGAGATACGTAGGAATTTCAACCTATTGACGCTTCCCTCTTTACGGCTGTTTTCGAAATGCTGTAGACTGAACAATTCTGAGGTATATTAAAAGGTAAAGTTGTCCTTGTTATATATGAGACAAACTCCGTCTTAAGTGCAACAATTTAAATTGTTGCACTTAAGACGGAGTTTGTCTCATATATATTGTGTGAGTGTAACAGGATGCTTAAATATAATATTGTCCTTGTTCTTCGCCATGAAGGCGTATGGGGGAGTGGATATATAGATCCATATATTCTTGACCTCTGCAGTTATTTGCATATTAGTTTCATGTCCCTGCCGCGATATCCACGGCACCCATTGGATAGGAGGCTGGATGGGCGAACTCATTAGCCTTTTGTATCCAGGATTTCATTTCAGCGATGGTTTCAAAAGTCTGTTGCTAAATTGACACTCAGCTCATGCAGGGTCTCATAGAGGACAGAACTGTATCTCGGAAGCGTTCTTCGTGTTCTGGGAGTTGAGGTTCTCACAGCGGTTCTATCTTCCTATTCTTCGACCCTGAATATGGAGGTGATATGTTGCTCCGAAACGCCGCGTGACTTTCAACAAACTACACGGCATTATATCGCAGAAGATTGTACTCTTAATTTCTCTTCGTCCGGTTTGTAGATATCTCAGAGTAAATCGTCCCTTGTGCTTATCAGCCGTGCCACTTTATTCATGTATTTCCAGATATCGGGTATTTCCGGCATGCCGACAAACTCTGCCAAAATCTCAGTCTTGTCGGATAAGCATCTTTATTGTAAATAAAATAATCAAGGCACCGGAACATGGGTGTTTTACATTTCGTTTTAAACATGTAATTCACAGGGCCAGTTTTGGAGGTGCAACTTGTATTTGTGGACCGGTTGTGTGCCACGTTGCCGTGTATTGTAGTTGTTTCGTCTTAAAATC